AGCCAGAATCGGTTGTTTCTGTGTGGCTGTTCCAACCATCGAATCTCCCAGGTTCCGTCTTCCAGCCTGAGTCAGTATCTCCACTGATTTTACAGCCAGAGTTACTGTTCTCCGTGATTTTCCATGCAGCTTCACTTTTCTCCGTGTCAATTTTCCAAATGGGGTTAATTTTCCAGCTGGGCTCTGTTTTCCCGGCGTCGATCGGCCCATCCTCAGCCTCGGAGAGCTCGGGGGTGGGGAGGTCTTGCTCCCCGCCGTCGTAGTCCTCCTCCTCCACGCCCGGGGAAGGGAGGTCCGGGTCGGTGGTCAGGGCGTTGCAGTTCGAGTCGAGGCCAGGCCCGAGCGGGGAGGACGCTCCAGAGCAGGAATCAGGGGAGCAGCAGAAGCTGTCTGGGGAGCAGATGCCCGGGCCAGCCAAGGCCCGCGGGGAGCCCTGCTCCAAGGGGACGACGCTGGGCTGGGAATGGGCACCCTCCTGGCCAGTCAGGTGCCGGGCGTAGACGGAGACCGGGGACTCGTCGGGGCTGAGGTCAGAGCAGGAGCTGAGCGAGGAGGAGCAGCCGGGGTCGGAGGGAGAGGCCGCGCCGTCCTCCTCCTGCGGCGGGTCCGGCCGGTTCTCTAGGCCCGGCCCGTGTTCCTGGCAGCACCGGCAGGGCACAGCTGGGCTGTTGGAGTTGGCGTCCACCAGGGTCCCGCTGCAGGGCCCGCTGCTCTCCTTGCCCCCTGTATCACCCGGGGGAGGGGACGTGCTCAAGGGCCCCTCCCGCAGCTCGGGGTGGCGGGACAGGTGCAGGCCCAGGGAGACGTGCTGGAGGTGGATGTGGTTGAGGTTGCAGAGTAACGCCCTCTGAGGGGACAGCATGGCGCCTGCCGCGTCCCGGTGGCCTCCGGAGAACCAGCGGTACCGGGCCTCTCTCGTCCAGCCACCTGGCCACGCAGATGCAGACCTGGAAGACAGGAGTGGCGAAGCCGGCCAGTGAGGGCGCGGGCCGCAGGAAGGACACCGAGGTGACCGACGGCGGCGGCGACAGCGGGCACAGTCCTGGAAGGGTGCTGGCTGCTGGGGGACTTTTTTTTTTTTGGTACCGGGGATTGAACTCGGGTCCTTGCGCTTGCAAGGCAGGCCACCGAACCGCTGAGCTAAATCCCCGGCCCTGGGGGACATTTTAAATGAGACGTAAATCGCCCTCGACTGGCCATTAGTTTCCACTGCGGCGTTTGCAGGTGCAGGCGAATGTAAACCCGCGGGAATGGGAAAGGGCGGGTCAGAGGATGCCACTGCGCGCTGGCTCGCCGCGGGGTCCGGAGCTCGGAAAAGGAAGGGCCCGAGGGTCGCCGATCCTCTCTGCATCCATCTGGCCCCCCTCCCGCTCACCCCTCGTTCCCGGAGGAAGCCGGGGAGACCCCGCCCCGGGGCCCCGAAATGTAGCGGTCTGGTGAATGCGGGGACGGGGCCGGCTGCGCGGCCTCCGGTCTGCACCTTCCC